CCTTGACCGCTGTTTCTCCTGTTTTTATGTCAGTGGTGCGCACACACTAACCAGACAGCTACATACACCCCTTCCCTGTCTTCCAAACATTGCAGACTGTTCCATAAAACACAGTTTGTGTGTTTAAATCCACATTTTTAATTTTTACATCCACTTTCCTAAACAAGCGTCAGGATTTTAGTTTACACCAGCATGGGTCTATGTAGCTGCTCACGCAAACGCACACACACCGCTGCACACACGAGGAGTCTCGCCATGGCAACAGCGGAGCAACACAGGGAAACAACTTAGTAGAGTCAGGCGGTCGCTGTGAGAAAGTGTCATGTTACGGCAGAGGGCTGAGGCTGAGGAAGGTGAGAGGGTAGGACAGGAACAGAGAGGAGAGAGTGACACAAGGAAAAGTAGAAGGAAGAGTACCAATGACGAAAACAGACTGGTGGAACGACACATTGAAGAGAAACTGGGAAGAAGATAAACACAGATAATGAAAGACATAATCTGAAAATTGTTCAGTGAACAGGTGGTGTTTTACCCTTAATCTTCACCCAATGGCTGAATGCTGTTCTAAGTCAAAACAGTCCTGGAGAAATTAGAAGTAATTTTAATTTTCAATGTTTGTCTTTTTAATCAAAAGTCAAAATGCTGTTAACTCTGTGTATGAATATATGCAATGTTGGGACATGTTTTTCAACCTCAGCTTGCTCTCTTTATTACTGCCTCAGTGGAACAGATGAAGGCCAAAAATAAGTGGGGTCTTTATTTAGTAGAAGGTGAGTCTGTAACCGTATCCTGCAGTTTTATTTTAAGGAAAGGGTTTATCCTAAACTCGATCCACAATCAAATGCTGGAAGTCAGAAGTTGGTTACGTGCCTCAGCGAACCTGGACCTGGGGGTCTTGTGACTGCCATTAATGTCACTGTGGTTTAATATAACAACTGATTTCTATCAGGCCTGATTTACTCTCAGAGCTTTCAAATTGAGAGGAGGGAAGAAGTTTAAAAGTGCAGCAACCACCCTCCTGAGGTGTTTTACACTCATCCCTACATTTAGTATGTGGTTTAGGAATGTGGTATAACTCAAGAATGTGTGTTTTGTGCATTTATGTAGAAAAGCTTTCATTAACTTGATAATTCTGGAGCTCAATACATTCTTGTTTACATATCCTTCTTTGAAGTTTGCTTATACCTTTGATTATAAGAGTTATGGTAATATCTATTAGATTTAATTTGTTACATTTCACAGGCAGGTAAATGGCTGCTAAGTCAAGTTATTCACTTGGGCTGTGAGCCTACAGCTGGCTGTGTTACAACATTAACCAAAAGCAGTTGTGATTGCCTCTTTTTGTTTTTGTTTTTTTTGTTTCCTCCCAGTAATGGTGCACAGGAACAGGTGGGGGAGGGGTAAAGCTGTGCTAATGTAGGATCTATAGAGAGGGTCAATTTCTCCATTATATTTTGACATTAAACTATTGGGATGGTATCATGGAAAAAATGCTAAAGCAGTTTTGAAAAAAAAAAATTCTAAAAGTTTTTGTGGCTTTTATTTGCAGTTTTTAGACAGGAAATGGGCAAAGACAGAAGGGGGTAAAACATGCAGCGAAGGTTGACTAAGACTTTTGCATGTAACAAAAGTTGACAAAAACTGCACCAACAGGTAATTGCCTCTGTATATGGGGTACCCACTTTAAAGACACCCCAGAACTTTCTAAAGGATGAATATGCCATGAGACCTTGTCTGCTTCCATAAACTTTTTTTTGACACTTTGGGATAGCAAAATAAAGGTATTTCAGAAATTCTTAATAGTAATAATTTTTTATAATAAATTTCTAATAATCATTTAGACTATTTGATCCTTTGTTGTTGAATGCACTGTACTTTAAAGGGAAATATAGTTACCAGACAGTACAATGCTTCTTAAAACGCATCCTGAAAACTTTGCATTAAGGACAAAAATGATCATAATTGTTGCATCTCTAATTACAAGTTCTGACTTCATGGAAACTGATTCTATGTAATACCAAACACCAGCTCTTCTGCTTTGAAGCATTTGCCATAAAACATGTTTAATATGTAGAATCAAACTGAGCTAGCAAACAATACAAAGCAAAAACACTCTTCAGAACATGCAATGCAATAAACTCTTGTTTATATCCCTGTAACAGTTTTGTTTTTACATCTGTCTGTCCTCTTCTACAGATCCTAGCTTTCTTTTAATCTTGTCTGGAACAGATATGGCATTGTGAATAAACTTGTCTTCATTTAAAGCCATGCATATACACACCAACACACGACGCGTAGTGCAGACATGCATACATTCAAACACGAGTCAGGACTTCATGTTCTCACTCCAACAATATGCAGACGTGATTATAAAACAGGAATCAACAACTCAAAGGGCTGTTGATTCTTGCAACTTGTTATTTCTTTGAATCCAGATGTTTCATTTTGATGACCTGTGTGTTTCAAATCAGGTTGGTATGTTGATCTTAGGATTTATTACTTTGTCTGACATGGCACACCCTAAATTAAGGAGATCTGCTACTCTTAGTCATTCACGCCGATTGATCACTATGCTATTTTAAAACTCATTCACAGTATGTTATAAAAGAGTGGCAGCGTACCTGAACGTGCCAAAGTTTTGCTTCAACAGGTTTAGTTAAGATTCCATTGTAAAAATGATAGTTTATATGTTTCATGTAATAATTTGTGCAGTTTAGCATTTCTACTATGATTTATTCAACTCAGTTTATTTACGTACTTCTCAGTAATAAAAATATTTGTAGGTTAATCCTTTTTTAAGTATGCCCTGAACATATTTGTTTTTTATGGTAGAACATAGGCACCCCCATGTTTAAACATTTACTTTTTTTTTCTTTTAGCTTGTTTTAGAAACTGTTGAGAAAAATGCAGCAAATAAGGAACACAGGCTACTAAATGTTGAAATTATGTTTGTGGTTTGGAACGCCAAACGACTTATTTCTAGCTCACCACCTTTCTGTCCTTTCATGCATTGATCATTTTCCACCTAACACTGACACCAGGGTGTGTGACGCAAACTGGCCAGGATGTAGCGCCAGCAGCCAGCTGTGGTGGGATTGAAGCTTGGCAGTTAAAAGTGGTGAAATAGCAATGAAAGGCCTTCTTCTTCTCTGTTGGTGTCTATTAGCTACCCTGCATCTGAATGGGGGTGTGGTCACTTCAGAGCAGTCCGGTGTGAGCGTGAATGTGGGGGGATGCCATCCTGCTGTCACAGAGTCTTCCAAGTACAACATTACTACAGTGGTGGGATTGTGTGGCTTGTGTGTTTGTTCTGTCCTTTTGTAGAAGAAAGGTCCTGTTCTTCTTTCCATTTTCCTTTAGTTTTTTTTTTACCCAACATGCAACAACTTTACCCCATAAAAGATTTTCTTCTCTGGAAAGCGGCTAAAGTGGCAGCATTCGGGGACAACTTGAGAGAGGAAAACTGCTGCTTGGTGCTCATTTTCCAACCATGTTGGCTCAAGTGAACCATTGGAAATCTTGATGACATTCTCACTGGCATCTTTGGTACCATACAAAGAAAAAAAATAATCTTTAAGTCAGACCTCACAGAATGAATTGAGGACTTTTTTCTCTATTAGACGACTTGATGAAGTACAACTTATTTTATATGTTAGAGATTCCCTTTCTCGTGAAAAGATTCAGACATCCATTCATTTTTAAGGAGTCTTCTGCTCATCTGAGACTGGGTTGTGAGGGTAACAGACATCCCAAGGTGTTCCCTAGTCAGATGGGACACACAGTCACTCCAGTGAGTTCTGCGCCTTTCCCAGGGTCTTCTCTGTGTGGAAATAGAAATTCCTTCGTGTTAGAAATGTTATAGCTCGACAGTATCATGCTGTCACGATGCTACTATTGCAAAATACCACATCAAGTATTAGTTTTTGATTCCCTAAAGCCATGTTTCTTGTTTCGTATCACAATACAACACAAGAACCTCAAGTAATACTTTTACCGCCTCTAGTAGGAATTATTGATTTTCATAACTGATAGGAGCAGATTAACTACAACGTAAAGCTAATAAACCAGAGCAGAGCAGAAAGTCAGGCATATTAATCTTTGCTTCAAACATATGATGTTGTTGTCCTCCTTCCATGAGATTGCCACAGCACAGTGGCCTCCATTCAATCCACAGCTGTGTGCACACAAACTTGGCAAAGTTTTTTTTTTTTTTTACTGCGAACTGGATCTTTAGCCAACCTGTTCTACCACCATAGCCACTGCCACCCACGCCTCAAACACAATGCTCAAAAGGAAAGGGAAGCAGAGTACAGACTGAGCAACTCGTGCTGCTTTTTGTTTAGTTGTGAAGTCGACACGGGAACATCATCCTCAAAGTATCCTGGTTTTCCGACTTTATGTGCAGGTCGGAAAACCAGTGTGATTTGCTTTCTATTGTTGAACTAAGTGACCAGACTGATTGCTATTAGCAATACAAAGTGATAACAACGTAACACTCTAAATTATATTAATTTACCACAGATGGACCATAAATATTTGTTTATGTGAAAATATTTTCAACAAAATACTAACTACCAAATTGTTCGTTGTGGCAACTACTCCTGTGTTTTAAATACACAACAGACATATTGTATTTTGAGTTTGGGGTTGATGACTAACCTCATTTCTTCCCTTGTGGAATTCAAACTTGAGGGTTCCTTGCTTTTTAGTTTTACAACTTAAAAAATTTACTTCAAATTGGGTTAAATAAATATCATGACATATTTCTGTTTAGAAGCTATGTTATTGTAGTTTTAAAACACATTGACAGTGTGGTGATGCCTTGGAAATACAGTATGTTACTTAGGAAGGTGGTTCTTTCTATAAAAGGTTTGAGAGCTTCTGTCCTAAAGTAGAGATATGTACAACATGTGTGTATTCTTTCACACCTTCCGTCACGTCAAGCCCAAGGACTCACGTCTGTATATTTTCTTTCTCTGCCTCTGTCTGTTGTCTTTTAGCTCACTGGCTACAATGACAAGCCTGTGAATCTGCAGATGTTCATAGGAACCGCAGACGACCGCTACTTGAGGCCACACGCCTTTTACCAGGTGCACCGGATCACCGGGAAGACTGTAGCAACGGCCAGCCAAGAAATCCTGCTTTCCAGCACCAAAGTTCTTGAAATCCCTCTGCTTCCTGAAAACAGCATGTCAGCCAGGTACATGTCGGAAGTAAAAGTTGAATTATAAGGCCACATGGGCTTACCTCCATGGAGGAAGGGCTAACCGAGGAAAAATAAACACCCTTTTTGTTATAAATATATGCATTGTCTTCCAAAATATATTTTATAGAGTTTCTTGCTTTACACTTATGTAAGGGTTGGTTACACATTAAATTTACAGGATTTCCTGTGGAGCAAAGAAATAATTTTTATTTATATAACTATGACCTTTTACAGCTAAATAATTATGTTTTTTGTAGGACCTGGTTCCATTTACAGTGTGATTCATAGCATTTTTCATGGCATAGGATTTTTTATTTATAACTGTAATAAATTACCCTCGCAGGCAGTTTTAGTTGCCAATCTCCTACTGGGTTTGCGGGCTATTTTATCACCCAAAGGCTTTTTTACAAGTACTAACTAAATATGCCTGAGATGCTTAACATCCTGATGGTGCTGTGCAGGGCCAACTGTTTTTCCCCTCCTCCTTTCCTTGCAGTATTGACTGTGCTGGCATACTGAAGCTGCGGAACTCGGACATCGAGCTGCGGAAGGGGGAGACGGATATAGGACGAAAGAACACACGGGTCCGCGTGGTTTTCAGAGTGCACATCCCTCAACCCAACGGGAAGGTGTTGTCCCTGCAAGCTGCCTCTATTCCTGTGGAGTGCTGTGAGTGTCCACTTTCTGTTATATTCAAACACACAACAATATTTATTTAGAAATTGTCTTGATTAGAATGTCTAATATGAGACATTTTAGCCGATGGAGACTTGAATGTCATGTTCATTCAATCCATATTTAATTAAGATTCTAAAGTTAAAACAAAGCAGATATTTACTGGCACCATAAAAATAAATAACCTCTTTTCCCCCACTCTGATTGTCAGACTAACGGTTTCTTGTTTTAGGTCAGCTAGGATTCCTCAAACCATTTATATTTGCTAAATGCCAGATTGAAGCATTGTTTTGCCTTCATCACATTCAGAAATGTACAGAACACTTAAAACAATAATGTTTGATCTTAGTTATACAGTTTAAAAAGCACTTTTTACTAAATAATGAGGTAATGTATGTAATCTCTAAAATATTCTATTTCTCACTGATCTGGCATTTAGCAAATAGAAATAACTGTAGTAGTCCTTTCTGCCCTAGACTAAAACAGAAAACATTGAGTCTTATTTGATATCAGACTGAGAAAAAGAACAGTTATTTTGTCATTTTTAACACAGTGTATGTAAACATCTGTTTTCACCGACATAGACATTATAATGTGAAATTTCATCAGCTATTGTTCAACTTTCTGGATCTCTCCCAGCCCAGCGTTCAGCTCAGGAGCTGCCGCAGGTTGAGAAGTCCAGCCTCACCAGCTGTCTGGTCAGTGGGGGTGAAGAGATGGTGATCACTGGTTCCAACTTCTTCCCAGAGTCCAAGGTTATCTTCCTGGAGAAAGGCCCTGGTAAGAAGAGCCTGTGCAATATCTTTGGATACAGTGTAGTTCCAAGATGGATGGTCATGCTGAATTTTATGTTAGGCAATATTAGGTGTGTACTGACCTTCATTAAATGCCTTTAATAAAATACACATTGGATAATGTTCGGCGTTTTAAGACTGAAAAGTATGAATGGAAGCGTTACCCCTGACTTGTTTTTAGCTCTTCATGTTTTGACAGTTCGTGACTTGCTTAACAGGTTATAAAATTGTGTCTTTGATGTCACATTTTAATTTAAATACTGCAGTGGTCTGTAATAATCAGTGTGCCTGGGGCTCTTCCGTGTGGAGTTCCCATGTTTTCCCTAAGCCTGCATGGGATTTTTTGTGGATGCTTGTGTTTCCTTAAGCAGTCAAGACATTTGAGGAAACAGAAAACAAGATGTACCAGATCAGATATTATTTATTACCTATTACAGTTAATTGACTGTTGATGTGTTTTTTATCTGGTGGTTGTTAGATTATCTAGAACAAAAATACAAAGGAGGGTTCATTAATTCCAATACCTTAAATGCCTTAAAAAGTGATTAAAATGTGGTCAGTATGTTTTTTTCCTTAGTTTATAGAGGAAATTTTGAAAGAAATATTTATAAATGTATTTCAACTCTCTATTTTAAATATTAGTGGATTTTATGCAGCACCTGTATGGATACTTTAGTCATTTGTTATCCTTAAAAGCTGATTTTATCTGTTAACAAATACCCTAAGCTGAAGATTAGCTTAAATTCCTTGTGGTATTTAAAGTTATTTTCTTTACCCAATCTTTTCTTTTTTTAAAAAGGACATGGAAGAGTTGGGTGGAAATTTTAAATGGATGACATTTGTTTAACCAGTCCCTACCTGCCCAAGGTACATTTGTGATACAGAGCAGCAGATTCAAGTTTGTACATGGCAACAAGCTGAGTGGTGTTGCCTTTGTGAGCGAGTGCGGTACTTTAAAATCGTCTATTTAAAAGATCTGCCCCGAGGAATGTGTTCAGGCCCTTTTCAGAAGGAGCAAGTGAAGCATGGCAGGCTACACTAGTGAGTGGAAACCTCTGAGAGGCGCTTCTTGGTTTGGCAGTAACTTGGGCCCCATATTGCATGAACTCATTGGACTGTGAAAGAGACAGAAAAAAGTGAAAGTGGATGGAAATGTGATGTTGATTAGCACTGTGCAAATGGTTGCGCTCATTACCTTCTCTGCAGAAAGACACTGATTACCTTTGATAAGAGAAGAAAAGAAAGAAAACTGACAGACTTTTTTCTCTACCAGGTTTCATAATGCACTGAAACCACATTAACAAAAAAAATCCAGTGATGATGGAGTGACATTAATTACTTCATTTTAAATGCAACACATAAACCCTCAAGTTAGATTCTCTTAAGGCAAATAGCCAGAGGGGTTTTTTTTGTCAACAATTGTACGTCTACAGTGAAAAACAACTGGACACAGTATAGGATTTTGTAATGCATTTCACAATATTACAAAGTTATTAAAACAATCACACAAATAAAACCCCACATAGTGACCATCCAGATCACAATAGGCCATAAGAACTCATAATAAATGGCAAAAATGATTGTTGACAACAAGGATCAATGAGTTTCTGTGTGATTTGTTGAATGCTTATGCTGGATTAGCAGGCTTTGACTGATTCTGAATCTGTTTCATCTACTCCGATTAACTTTTTCTCCTGATGAACAATGCAAATTGAGGGCAATAAAGCAAATATCACACAATAAAGAATATTTTGTTTGCAAGTTATTCAGTGATTTGCATATTTTTGAGCCAGAATGCGACTCTGGCTATCCAGCAGCAATGATGGATGCTAACATAAATGTCAAGTCTGAGGCAAACTGTGACAAGGACAATGACGCAAGTTCTGGATGCTATATTTACTAGGCAGATTCACTGCCAATTGTCTAAAGGTCATATAGCAATAGATCTTTATTGTATAGCTGAATGAATCTGAAGTAAAACATGTTTTAATCATTTACTAGTCATAGCAGGTTTTTCAGTCTTAACCCTTTGAGTATTTTTTGTTTTTTGGGGGGGATTAGAAAGATGATGATTTAGTTTTAGGTTTTTCAAAGAAGTAATCAGACAGTGAAAAAGAATAAAACACAAGGGAAAGGAAGCTATGTGGTATTAGTATGAGGATTTACTGCTTGAGGGCCCAAATATAAACTGACCCAACAGTCATCCTGCTTTCTGGGGTGGATGTACATTACTTAAAATGTTAATCTTGGAAAAAGATTACCATGTGAGTTACTTGACTTTGTAAAACTCTGAAATTGAAGTAGGTCCATAATTGGTATAGGTCTTTGACTTTTACAAGCACAGCCGTTTACGAAGAGTCTGACTGTAAAGGCTGACAGTGACTACCTTAAAGAGTGACTAATGCAGCAAGGGTGCTGGTGCTGCCTCATTATAAAAGCTCTGCAATTATATATTTTACAACGATGTTTTCTCTAAGATTTGTTTGGTTTTTCTAGCACAATGGGGAGTACATTCTTTTCCACAGTGAAATCATAAGAACTGGGTGGTTCGACGATCCAAGTCATTGTTTTACTGTGGTATGAGGCTCCTGTTGGTGCTTGTCTGACAGAACATGTGGGGCCCTTGCTGCTGCCTGTTGAATGTCAACAAGCTGTGGAGTAATAATGCATTGCTGTCAACTGTCAAGGTCATTGCTCACAGAAAGAGAAAAAAAAACTGTCAACAAGTTAAGATATAAATTCTCAAACGATATGATGTGTTTGAGGTTAGAACTACCTAAAGCGACAGGAGGTTACTGCATCCAGGTTTAATTTTCAGGTAACATCAGAGCATCAGCTTACATTTTGGAATTAGTGGTTCTTATAGCTAGCTTAACGGCTTAAATACAACAGGCTTGCAGTTGGGTGCGCATTGTTTAATCTACATTTAAACTAGGCGCCTCTGCAGAAATGTTGCAGATGCCTCACGGTGGTATTTGGGGAAATCCTTTTGGTTTTGTGGAACGGGCCATGCAGGTGCAGAATATACATGGTGCAACATGTGAGCACCATGAAAAAAGGGAGGCATCTGCAAGTTTATTTACTTCAGCTTAGAGGCCAATCCGTCCTGTAGCTTTCAAACTTTTTATTCCTCTCCAGGCTGCAGTGACGGATTTCTTCCAACCACACAGGAATCCTGTTAGTTTTTTCATCCCAGCTGCTTCTTTCAGTCGCCTCCAAGATGTTTCTCCAAATAATAATGTCCCTCAGAGGAAACCTTACGTTTTTAAAGCACTTTTTATAAATATTCCATTGCTGTCAACATAAAGTTAAACAGGCACAGCAAACAGTGGGATTTTTTGTTCTTTTTTTTTTTGCCATTCGATTCGTATTAGATGGCTGTTAAAATTTCTCACTTACACGATAAGACAGAAAAAAGTAGAGGTTGTTTCTGTAATGTCTGTAATCAAATCGGGATATTTTTTCCAAAGAAACTGTTTAAAGTTAATCCTAATAAAACTGTGATTTAATTGGCTGAAATGAGTTAACCACATATGATTGGTATGGTGAAAGATTTTTAACTTTTCTGGTTTTTTGTTGTCTTTATTTTAGATGGACGCCCACAATGGGAAGTTGAAGCAAAAATAATTCGTGAGAAAACCCAAGGTGTAAGTATTTTTTCTTTACTTCTGTGAATGTACATTGGGTTTCTTCAGTGTGATGGTTTTTTTTTCTGATTTTACTATTAATCTTTTAAGTTGTTCAATATGGAATGTAAAAAATAGGATCATATTCATATATATATATATATATATATATATATATATATATATATATATATACAGTAATTGTCTTTTTTATTCAAACATAATTTCTACATGTCTTTGTAGATCTGATTTGATTTTCCATTTTTACTATACAGATTTTTAAATGACTTGTATTATATGTAAGTGCCAGAGAAAATTGATGGCTTTTTTTTTTTTTTGCTGTAACTGAGAATCTGCATCTTAATGTATGGGTCAGTACTTTAGTGGGACAGCACCGTGTATGTATGTTGAAATGTAAACCATGTTTCATGACCAGAAAAGTAAGTCATCAAAGTGTTGTGTTTTTTGTGCGTCTCTTTTAGTCATGCATTGTCGTGGAAGTCCCTCCATACCACAGTAAGACTGTGACTTCAGCTGTGCAGGTGCAGTTTTATGTCTGCAATGGAAAACGGAAAAGGAGCCAATCGCAACGCTTCACCTACCTTTCAGGTTGGTTTGGAGGAAGCAGGCATGATTGAAATGAATTTGAAACTCCTGAAGAATCTCGAAAGATTCTGAAAATGATGAGCAAGCTGTTTGTAGGTGTTTGCGTTCTGCATCCGGCTGTACAGAAACTTCCAGGTTAATTTCAAAATGCGTGACTCAGAGCGGTGATAACATCGTTGCCATGTTGCGCACTTCTCCACATGGGTTTGTGAGCCTCCTTTCTGCTTTCTATCTTCAACTAAAATACAAGTATAACTCAACAAATAAAAGTATAATTAAAAAAGTTAATTTATCTGATCATTTAATGTTAAAAATGCACACAAAGTGATTTATGTTGTGCATCTATTTCTGTAGATTTTGATGATTATGACTTACAGTTGATATAAACCCAAAATACCAAAAAGAAAAAGTAAAAAAATAAAATAAAATGGAGATATGGGGGCCTTCTTCCAAAGTAGATGGGGTTCCTTTTGCATAAATGACTGCATCAGTGTAGTGGGGCCTAGAGGGGATTAGCTTGTGGCAAGGCTGAGTTCAAGAATGGGAGCCATTACTTAGTCTTGACAATAACCCAAATGTGCTGTGAGTTTCCTGGTCAAATAATCCCAGAATCTCCACGGTCATTGAGCCAGATATTGGTACTTTATCCACTGGATGTTCCAAGTTCTGCTGGTTAAGGAAATCCACATCGTTATAAACATTGTCAGCAGAAGGAAGCATGAACTGCACTAAAATGTCCCAGTTGACGGCTGTGGTGAATTTACCCTACTTGTGTTTGATCATCTGTTGGACAACTCTCAAGTCAGCAGTTTTCATGCCATAATGTATCGTCTCATTTCTGTGCTTTAAAAATGCTTTTTTTTCTACTTTTTTATGAAGTCATATTCCAAGTCTCAAAAAAGTAGGTTTAGATCATATTAATCAAAATTAACAAACATAAACATGACATGTCATCCCGTGTGTAGCGAATCTATGTAATGTCAATGTTTTGCTTTTAGAATTCGATGAACTAAATTCCCTTTTTGAAGATTTTCTAATTTATTAAGAAGCACAACAACTTCTTAATAAGCGTTAAGAACTTCTTAATAAACAATAGGTTTAACACCTATTGTTGGTAGGTGTTAAACAATAACATATTTTCTGACACTCACGGTGGCATCTTGTTTTTGTTTCACATGCACCGCTGCATTTTGTTTTTGTTATCCAGGAAAACTCCACTACACACTGAAAGTCTGTTTGTGATCACTTTGCAAAGTAGGCTCAGCTTTGGGTACTTTGATGTGTGACTGAGCATCACTGATAATTTCATTGAAGTCAAACGAGCTCGTTCTTTTCTTTAATATTGTTATTGTTGTTTTTTTTTTTTCTGTTAAAACCAGTCAAACTGAAAACGCTGTTGGCGTATTATATTGACATGTGAGCATTTTGTGCAACACATCCAAACCCTGACTTTTACCGCAACAGTGTGTATATTGTGTGCGTTTGTGTTTCTGTGTATGTGTACAAGGGGCCTTGCCCATCCACCCACCCAGCCTTTCTTTTTGCAAGCACGCCCACTCGTCACAGGCAGTTCCTGTTTTCCCCGCTGACAGATCAGTGCAGCCAATCAGAGCATTGTAGATTAACGCTGCTCTGTCAGTCAAGCCGGGTCGCTTACACCGCCGGTGTCACCACGGACACCGCCTGCTTTATTGTGGCAGGAGAAAAAGAGAAAAAGAAAGTCAGCCAATCAGTGGTGTTTCATGTTTCATCATGGGTTCCACTACCAAGAGCCTGTCGCAAATAATATCTATTTTTTAAGAAAATCAACCAAGAAAAAAAATCTAATATTTTTGCTAAAAACCTTTGATTTCAATTGTTACTTTGAGTTAAGCTATGAATAGCTATACTTAAATTCGAAGTATCACTCTTTTTCCATTCTAATATCCCCAAGCCCTGTTTTCAGATTAAATAAATTGTGTTTAGCCTGACTTGCGCCTCTTGTTTCTCTCGGTTCCTAAGGTCTACCAGGGTAAGAAGAGGGCACAGTCACTGCACTCATTTGTTCGTTTCAGTGTGATCTTGGCTGGGGGGCATTCAGTTCCTCATCCCACACATTTCACATGATGGCAACTAGACTGACTACATATGCTCTCTTCTGATTCAGAGCTGGATAAAAATAAAACTTGTGGTCACAAGGCACCAGATTGGGAAATAGGTTACCGATTGGCATAGCAGTGCTCTAAGCTGTCACAGTAAAGAGGAATGGCCCCATTTACAATGAAAATGTCAGTCTGTTTTTTCGCAGGCTGTTTTAATCTGGAATGAGACCTATTTTGCTGTCACATATTTCAGAGACTCTCCTCACTGCATCGAGGTCTTTTTTTAGGTTTTACTGCAGAGCTTTTCTATAATAAAATTGAAGTAAGGCAATCAGTGGAGGACCAAAGTCTCCCTTTTATGTTGACTAAAATCAAAGAACTTGAAAGATGCGTAGATTATATTTTTTTTATTGTTTTTATTACAACATTGAAAGTATTTCACTTGTGGGTGTCTGTAATGCTCTTGAAGTCTTACACATGCAAATAACTCATTTGTACATTTGTTTGCTCCTCTGTTGGTGTTGTTCTATAATAAATATAAATTTTCCATGTTTTTACATAAATTACACATTTACTGTATGTGCTCAGATTTTTTGGTCAGTTTTTCTGTTTCTTATTCCCTGACTGAAAATTAGTAATATTGTGCACAGGACTGTGAAATGATATTGAAGACTTCAGAGTCTACTTTGAACACTCCACACAGCCATGCACGCATTGAAGTTGTGCATCCTGCTCTGTTTTGACGCCACAGCCTCTCACATTGTCCTCCGGCTCGCCCACGTTCAGAAGAAACCGTCTTTGTTTAAACATAAACTAGGAATGGATAGAGTGAAAGCATACAATCCAATAAAAAGACTCTGCATGATATGAGTGATGTAAATGCAACTTTTCTTTTTCTTTCCTCTTCTCCCTTTTAGTGATGGTGAAACAGGAGCACAGAGACGAGCTGGACCTCACTGCCGTTCCTCCCATTTCCATGCCCTTGGCACATGCTCCCAGTCTGGTGCACCCTCAGCTGCCTTCTCCTGATCAGGGCCACCCATCGGACAACCTTCTGTCCAGCTCTCTTCACAGCCTGGCCACGGGCTCCGGACCTGGCCTGCTACCTCTGCCGGGCCCCTGTCCCTCCCTGAGCTCCCCGCCTTTCCAGCACCTGCCTCACCTCCAGGGTCACAGTTTGCACCACCCCCCTGCAGACTGCCACATGACGTTCCACCAGGGCTCTGTTCCCGCTCCTCCCCGGCCCACCTACCAGCCTTTGCAGCACAGTCCGAGTCACAGCCTGTCCTTCAACGGCCAGCCCAGCCTTCCTTCTCAGAGCTATGAGAGGATGTCCTTTCAGCAGAGCCCCACTGCAACGTCACACCCAATAGGCCTGGGAATAGTTTACTCATCCAGTTGCTCCTCACCGTCTGCCCTTTCATCCTCACCCACCAATCCCATTGTTGGATCCCCTCAGAACCATCAGCCTATGCTGTCCCCCTCGTCCCCGCACCTCCACACACTCGGAGGCTTCCACTGCTCTCCGAATCCTAGCCAGGTTCCGTCTCAGGGAGGCCACCCCCTAAGTGGGCAGCACTCCTCGCAGCTGCAGAGAGGTCTGGGATACCACCCAGTAAGCCAAAGGTCAGCTTCTTGTCCCACACCATCCACTGCCCCCCCACAACGGATGATCCCCTCTCCTCATTCTGGACCTTCTTCTCCTCAAGTCCACCCTCTGCCCTACCAGTCTCCCACTTCATCCTCCCCCACCTCAGCTGGGAGTCCTCTGGGGCCCCTGCAGCAGCATTCAGGACAGCCGTCTCCACAGGCCATGAGTCCAGTGATGACCAGCCTGTCCCCTGCAGCTGTGGGGCCACTGGTTCATCCGCTAAGTCCTCAGGGGCCATTTCCCTCTGAAGGGGAGAGGCTTAATATTAAGCAAGAACCGGAGGAGAGGGAGCCCACCTTCCGGTCCATCGGCCTACAGGATATCACTCTGGATGACGGTAAGAGAAATGGTTTCTGAAAACGAGAAGTTTTTATTCTGCCAAAATTGAACACCTTCACACACTGAGTCATTATTAAAATTTCAAATATAAAGGCCACTTTACATTATATCCACCACATTCACACACAAACTCTTGGGGCTTTGATTCAAATTTTAAGACAGTCAATCTTTGAGAACATGCATCTCGAGGTTTTATTGATTGTTCTTGCACCTTTTCTAGATTAGCCCTAATTGTCCAGGGTCTTACCAACTGTACTGTCATGAACTCTAACCCTTTTAGTCCTAGTTCATGATGAGGCCTGTGGGAGCTAAATGGAGCTCTTGTGTGTTTTACACAGATCTCAGGGTAATCTTTCTTCCTGAAGATCAGTTACAGAACTGAAATTTACCTCTTATACATAATCTCTATGGCTGTAGGCAGATGGAGTCAAGATTATTTTATAATCCTCTTCATCACTGCAAATATCTTCCCCCCCTTAGCATCTAGCAGATGTTTCAGTAATGCTTATCCCAGCTGTTAATCTGTATTTGTATTCTTTGGATTACATTGTGAAACATATTACAACTCTTTAACACATTCGGTTTTAGTCACCAAATTTTGGGGCAGGTTAAGAAACAAATTATTTTTCTGTTCAAACAACCAAAATATTTTGCATCAAAATGTGATATAGCTGCTTTCTGTCAAAAAGAGCAAGAGTTAGAGGTCGCTGTTGCACAAAAAAACCTTCCATAGCTGACTTAAGGATCAACCGTTGGTCCAGCTTTTCACTTTGTCGTCTTTCTGTCTCTTTTTCTAACTAATTATGTTTGCTCTGTATAAACCTTTGGTTTGGCATTAGATATTTTAAGCTCTGCTATCTGTGACGAACCATAATGTCTGTCTGAAGCAAGGGACCGCCAAGGGATTAAATTTACCGTTCAATATGCGATAGGTCGGATAAACATGGGTCTGGTGTAAAACAATACAGAGGGCCAGTTGTTTTGATTTCAGGGGACTGAAACCTTGATGTCTGATAGCAGTGATAACATTTGGACTGACGTTGCAGAGCATAGTTGTGTTTCAAGCTTCATTACTGAGGGGCTTGTCACCTGGTATTGGGTGTCATAGACACAAAGAGGAGTGATAGCTGTAGTATTACATTAAATGGCTAATTGACATATACCAGGATTTTGTATCTCTGGCAGCAATTTGATAATTAGTTACACTTTAAAACTTTGTTGGCTTCTCGGTTCCAGTGAATGGAAGTGCATTGCATTATTTCTTGCTACTTGCAAATATTGCAGTTTTTGCGTGATCATGTTTTTATGTGTATGTATGACTCCCATTTAGAACCCTAATTAGAATACAGCTTGGTGTTTCAAACTAGAAAAGTTGATTCAAAATGCTTTTAAATATCAGCTCATGGTGTATTTTAATAAGAGTCTAGAAGATTAAACATTAATTAGTACCCTGGTGAGGCTTTGCAGTAAGAGGGTGTTATTGTGTGTTAGCAGGGGTGAACCTAATGAACATAAATCTGCCAACAACAGGTCACATGTGAAGTACCAATGTCCAGTGGAGTGTATCTGCAGTCCCTTCATTTTTTCCTCAGTTTGCCATGTTACCACCACAGACAATCAAAATTTGTTGCAATTTCAAATGAGACAATAGAAAGTGGTGCATAAAAGAAAAAGAATTGGAAAGTGATACTGCTTGTTTTCTCTTTTTTTTTTACATTTCTTACAAATAAAAATCTGAAAAGCTGGGCATGCATACAAAATTCTCTATTTAGTGTCACACAAGCCTTATGATGCGGCTGTGTGCACTCGCCCTCTTCTCCAGATAAAGTTTGCAACACAGTTCAGCTGGGAATGTATGATCTCCCTTTGAGTCTGGAGCTAAAAATAGTTTTCTGTGCCAGTCCAGTTTCATAGTCCAGATTTTTAACGTAGCAACAGGAAGCTTTGCACGGCTCTGGGTTTTCGGAGGTCGTGGCAATCTCTCTTAATTAGATCACATTCACTCCAGTTTGGCAGAGAAAACAGTTCAACACGAACCTGATTGCAAACGTGGAGGAAATGTAAAGACATACTATAGTGACTAAAACCTTGCATAGAATTATAGACATAGATCCATGCATGCATTTAATCAATTTTAGAATAAAAGAAAAACAGAATGCCAAAGGTACTAGCACTCTGAATCTACTATCGGATCACTAAAAAGTTTGGATGAGGGTTCAGGATCCTTGTCACGTGAAGTTCGTGAAGGCGACTCATTAATGGTTCAGTTTCTGTCCAAGCGTATGTCAGATTTTTAGATGGGATGCTCCTTCAGCCCCAAGTGCTTTGGAAAATTTCCCCTTGAACATTTTTTTTTAAATCAAACTCAAAACACAATTGCAGGCTCATGCCTGTGGTATGAGACTGAGCTCTACAGTTAGAGTAGAAAGTGCTCTGGTTAGCAAGCAGATGGCCCTTGTGACGCACACCAAAGCATGCTTGAGATGTGTGTGTTAGTGTGTGTATAAGAGGGGTAAAAAAAAAGGGTGTGTGTGTGTCTGTTGATTTGATGTTTTCGAGGTGTGTGCGTGTGTTTGCGTGTGTCCGTGTGTGTTCCCAGGGCAGAGCACACAGGAGGCGAGAAGACAGACTGATAGACAGATGGATAGACAAGTTCAAAATCCAGCTCTGCTGCAGGGTCACTCTGCTGAGACAATCAGTCTGAAATGCACTTGGTGGTTAAAAGAAACATAAAACATATTTTTACTGTATGTCGGTTACGAATTAGAGAGATCAGTCTGAATTAAATAAAAATAAACAAGGTCGTGTGTATTCTTTACTAAACTTCAGGTGGAGAACTTTGTTTTATGTTCGACTCATAAACTTATTGCGCTGCGTCACGGTTCCTAACAACTGCTGTCACTTTCTGTTTTCATCTTTCTTTCTCGAGAAACTTGCACATGACTACACCGTTTAATCTGATTGGAAATATAAATGAAGCAACACTGTGAAACATCAGAAATGTTGCTCGGCATACAGGCCAGTTTGTTGGTATGCTTATTTATTTTTTTCCTCCAAAGTAATACTTTCAGCTCAGTGTATTATTCTGCTGTTTTATTCTGGTGGGTCAGGCTTTTGGACTTTTTTTTTTTAATGATCCATTATTATAAATGGACCATTTATAAATATTTAAACAAAATATTTTGTGGTAATTTACTCTATTGCTGTTTTGCCATCTACAATAAAAGGAAAGGCCATTAACTTGATGAAAACAAATAAATGGGGGATAAATCACTGGTTGTTCTGTTAATCTGCTCAAGTGTATATATACGTATATGTGTGTGCGTTTGTGTGTATGCGTGTGTGAGAGAGAAACCAGTGAGAGGCTTTGTGGAGCCATTTATCAACTAGACCAGTAATAACATCAAACTCCTCATTTGATGACAGAAGAAAAAAAAACTGTGGAAGGAAAATATGTTTCCACTAAGATTTGCCGCTGCTCTTTAAAAAAACAATGGCAAAATTTTTTTGTCTTTTTTCCCCTTTTTAACAAGTGGAAAATGATTTTTTGTCTCAGGTTTCCACACAGTTGAAAGTATATGTATTGCAGAGGTTTTGGCAGAATCCAAAAGGTTTGTGCAAAGAAGTTGCCAGCAGTTTTTTTGTTTTTTTTTTTGTTTTGCTTTTGTTTTTGTTATTTTTTTAGGTAGGAGAAGCCCCGAACTCCCTCTGATTGGGTCAATGTAATGCTTTAACATATGTTTTGCACATTTTTCATAAAAGAAATGAACTGAACAGTGTAATGAGAAGTAGACATGTTTTTTTCCCCTGTCTTATTTTAATGTTTTTGAATGTATAAATCAGTACAGTTTTAGTGATGTTTAAGTGCAGACTTGGCTCAGGGGACTGAAATGGATTTTGCTGTTGACATGTTTTTGTGTGTAAAAGTGAGTTACAACATTATTTTGCTCATTCGTAGAATCTTGTGGTTGTTTTTTTTGCCTCCAGTTTGGTTTTAACAAACCACTTCTGTTAAAAAAAAAAAACTCACTGAAAGGAAAATTCAAGCGGCTATCGTTTTCTTCCTGGAAGATGAAACACTGGTTTTGGTTCATAAGCGGTGTTACCTGTTGACCTTTCCAAAATATTTTACCTTATAATCCCATATGCATTTCTTAGTTTTTTGCCGTTCAGGCTCCAGACTTCCTTCTTAAAGTTGGCACCTTAAGTGATCTTTCAGGGTTTAACAACTTTTGCGTCCCAGATCAAAGGCTGGGATTCTTGTGAATCGCTTACCGTCACTTTAAATGGGAACTCCACGAATGATTCAGAGATGAGTGACTTTGAGAAACCGACTCTGTGATGAGCTTTTCTGCTGTGCTCTGCATCCTCACCCACTCACTTTCTTAGACCAACACTGGAATTAAAGTAAAAAAATAAATAAAAAAACGAGGGGAACACAAAGAACATAACAAGACGTCACAGAATTAAGTTCAATTTATTGGCCAGATATTTCTAGTGTGTGATTGCTTCTGAGGAAATGTCTGCATGTATTTACAGGAAGCTGCAACTGGAAAATGTTTGCTTTGATATTCCCTCTTGCAGGGCAAACCCAGCCTTGCTTCATCTCTTTTCCCTGTGCACAAAGGTTTTCCATTGTGGCATGTTGTCTTCATTTGGTGGAGTCAAGAATCAGTCAGTCTTCATGTTATTTGCTTAAGCTGCTCTGCCAGAGTAATGTTATTATGCCTGGTTGAGGGAACTTTTTTCAGTGTGTCATAGAGGTTTATGGTAATTGCCCATTTTCCATTTCAACAGTAGACGTGTTTATTTTACTGGATGTCCGAATGTCTTTTTCACTTCTGTTTTGCATTAGGGAGGTCTGTCCTATGAGCCCCTTTGAGATGCTCTTTAGAAATGAAGGGGTGAAATTACTCATTTGCCGTGGTCTCCTTCTAGATGTGAAACTTTGGTTTGGGGAAATTAAAGGAACCCATTAAACCTCTCCTTTCACTCTGG